TTTATATTTTTAAATAATAAATTAATATTACGTAAATAACACTGTTTTACATGTGAATAGTTTATGTTTGTCCCTACTACTAGTGCTGCCTCTCATGACACGTTCGCTGTACTATTCTCAGGAAAAAGGCTCTTTCGCTAAATTTGTTATGGTCTAGTCTAGTACCAAATTAAAATATCAGGTGGCATTCCTGACTCCTGACGTCGTCAACATAACCGGTTGACTTGACATTGACGGTGTTGACGGTTTGATTAAAGTCATTGCCTTTAATGATATAACCTAAGTATTTTATTTGATAATTTGAGTTCAGTTATCCAATTTTTTATCTCTGTAACTAATCATAATTATTCTGAATGATTCGGTGATAAGAATTCAACCGAATTGGTGGCAAGGTCCTGATCTTACGAAATTCTAAAATGATATTGAGAAATTTCTTGAAACTATGTGTGCTGTATTTGATAAGCTTGTTTGGCCTTTTCATAACTGAAGTTGAATCTGCTGGACAATTAGTATATGCTGTGAACTGTGGTGGAGAGGCGCATACAGACGTTTATGGAATAAGATATGAACGAGACCCTTTACATGGACGTATTGGTATTGCTTCTGATTATGGCAAGCGCTTGCTTATTGGGAGGGTCGCACAAAATGATTACTTATTGTATCAGACTGAAAGATACCACACCAACACTTTTGGTTACGATATCCCTGTTAATTCAGATGGAGACTATGTATTAGTACTCAAATTCTGTGAAGTATATTTCAATGCACCTGATCAAAAGGTTTTTGACGTGGTATTGAATGGTGATCATACCATTGTTGCAGATCTGGATATATTTGAGAAAGTTGGAAGAGGCATAGCTCATGACGAATACATTCCCTTTAAAATATCAAAAGGTGAGTACTTAGGGATTTTGGTATTGTTTGCATTGAATTGTAATTCAAAAACTGTTTCTTCAAACTGTTTTGTCTTTATTAGTAGTTTGTATATTTTTCCCAAAATTATTTGCCTGATGACATTACTCTCATTTGTTCTGAAAGCAAATAAAAAGAGCAAGTAGTTATTGAATTACAAGGATAAGAGAGCAACTTTAACTTGTTCACTGGTGTACAAAAATGAAACTCATAATATATTTGACTTTTTTTGTAATACAAGAAAGTTATACTCCAATGTTTAAGTTTAAGAAATACCACTTCTCTGGCTCGTTATTTGAAAAGTATGATTTGGGATGATTTCTTATTTTTTCATTGTGGAATATGGATGTTTATTGGCTTGGTGCCCAAGTCCACTAGACTGGAGTCTACTGGCTAAACTTACCTTATTCCATTGAGGATGTTTTCAATGGTGGTCATAGTTTCTCAATGCTCTCAGTAAAATAGTAGGATCAAATAGTGTGATAAGCTACAGCTATGTAGCAGCGGGGGCAACCAAAATGCCAAATTCTGTTCTACAATACGCTCAATCTTCAGCATATGAAATCAAAAGATTTTATATATTGAAAATTATTTTGATTTGTTCTGAAAGCAAATAAAAAGAGCAAGTAGTTATTGAATTACAAGGATAAGAGAGCAACTTTAACTTGTTCACTGGTGTACAAAAATGAAACAATCTTCAGGATATGAAATCAAAAGATTTTATATATTGAAAATTATTTTGAGATTTGATGTTTTCAGGTCGGCTCATTGTGAATGGAGAGGACTCAGAAATCAGAGGTGGTCGTATTCGAGTAGAATTCATTAAAGGTTACAAGGACAATCCAAAAATAAATGCAATGTATGTAATGAAAGGTAAACTTGAAGACATTCCTAAATTGCCTCCAATTCCAATGGAACCAAGTCCCATCGAGGAGACAATCAAAGAAGAACCAGAAGTCATTCCAAAATCCAGAAGGCCTAGTGGCCCTAAACAACCAGACCCATACACGGCAGATGATTCATCACTCATGCTGCCAATTTTCATAGCAATAGGAGCTTTTATACCTTTACTATTTTGTTTGTGCAAATTGTGATCACATATATTTAGGTATTTTATAATTTTTTAGTTAATTCTTCAATCATTTCTTTACATTGGGTTGAATTAATTTTGTGAATATTTCTTAAGGATGCTGTACGAATATTTTAGAAAATCTGATTTTTTTTATCTGCTGTTTGGAATTAGTTCCATCTGAATATTCAACTTGCCTCGAAAATAATAACCAATGTTGACCCTTCCCCAAACAATTCATAAGTGTAATAGGTATATATTACTTTTGATTATTGTGAATATTGGATATTTTTCGCAAAGTAGTAGTAATCTTTCCAAAATGACGAAATAGTTAATAAATTCTTCTCACAGAAAAGTGCCTAGTATCACAGCACTTTTTTCTTGATCTATTACTTGTAATCAATGTTTCTAGTGAAATCTCAAAAACATATTTGATGAAAAATTGTTAGTGAGGTTTGTAGAGAATTCATAGTATTATTGTATCAGGTATACTATCTGGTGCACTTCACTGTTGTACTTACAAATTGTATAATTTTGAGTATCTTTTAATTTAAATTATTGAGTATTTGTTGAGATCACGAGTTAAAAGAAGACACTGTGAATCAATAAATTAGTTATGTTTATTATCGATTTATTTCTAACTAGCAACGGTATTTGTGTAATTTCGTGTTGAATGACACATTCATTGTACTAGTTTGTCCTCTGTGGTGGCCTATTCTGTACCGCAGAATTTGCCTCTCTTGGGTACCTGCCATTTTTTGACTCCGGAGTTGAACACGGGTCTCGTGAGTATAGGGCTGGTAGGTAGAGAGAGTTCGCTTATATGTGTTCATTTTGGGCTCAGGGAGCAGGGAGGTCAGCATAAGCCACTGTGGAGCCTTGGGAGGTTACTTTCGGTTAGACTTAGCTTATGTGCAGAGATTTAAAAAATTTTATTTCATGAATTGAAGGGGTTATATTTTGAGGAGTGATTAATTTTTGGGAAAGAAAGTTTTTGGCTTTCTACTACTCCATCTTGATACAAAAAAATGTGGGAATCTTCCAAAGAAAGGAAGGAAGTAATCAATTTGAAAATAAGTAACTCTATACATGGATGTGTAGATCATGCAAAGAAGCAACTTTCAGGCACAAACTGGAAAAAAGCCCTAAAAGTATTATTGTGCCTAGATGCTGGTCTTGGAACAAAATTTTAATTTCTGATAGTAGTTTTGGCATTCAATGACTTATATAAAAATAAAACGAATGCCTGATGTCTGCGTTTCTCTAATGCCACAAATTCGAATTTATAAAGCAGATCAGAGAAATTAAAATTTCTTGGGGGATAAGTTCCAATGATTCTGAAACTGAGGAATTTCAGAAATTTCTTTTGTACTCTATCAATTGCAGATGTATATCGATTGTCTATGGGATTCCGTATTCTGGATCCATATTCTAGTTTTGGCCTCACCAAACTGAAATACCTACAGAGAGATTAGTGTTAATATATTATGGAAATTCTTACAGTTCCATAAGTATTGTAAGCTGATTTTAAAATGTTTTTAATGTGGTAATTGAAAGTCAGATGATCAAAATAGACTCCTAAATTCCGTATATTCTCTCTCTTCAATATAATGGCAGAGGATAAACAGGTTAGTTGTTAATGTTAGCGGTTCACAGGTCCCTCATCTAAAAGTGTTAAACAGATTTGCAATACAACAGAAGAAAAAATGAAAAAAGCAAAAAACAAACAAAGGACAAAAAAATACGGAAGAAAAATGGAAGAGAACTGACAAAAACCCAAAAAAAATCCAAATCAAAATAAAACAAAAAACAGTTTAAATAATTTATTTTTTTCGGATGGATCAGATGAAAAATAATAATGCCAAAACATGAAAAGAAATAAATAATGCGTATGAAATGTAAAAGTATATCAACGCTAAAACGAGAATGAAAATAGATTTCAAAGCAAGCTATAGCTTTGCAAATCTTGATATGCCTCTAACCTGGGCAAACAATAAAGAGAGATGGTAACTATCCACTATCAATTTTTATTAGAAAGTACAATCATGAAAAGGATTTTGGCTTAAATACTGGTATATGTTGAAATATACCAGTAGAGAACAGGAACCCCAATTCTTCCTTATGTGCACATATAAAATAATTGAAAAATAATGTTTGATAAACAATTGCAAATAATAGAAAAGTGCGTACAGTCTCACTAAAGATATTTGAATTTAGAGAAAATGGATAAACTTACGACTGATATTTGATAGAAAATTAAATGCATAGTTACTATAAATTATTATTAAACGTAGCAGGCATGTACACTACAAAACTTTGCCTGAAATATTGATAACGTACCACTATCAACACCCTGCAGGTTTATGCAGATGACTTTGTCATCTTGGCAAGATCCACAAAGGACGTTCTTTACAATTGGTGCCTGAGGGAGCAGATGTGTCTCAACCCCAGCAAAACTGTGATAATATTCTCCACCAGGAGGAAAAAATTGGATGATTTAACGCCACTTTACCACAATGGTGAGGTCATTCCATTTGGAACGGAGGTGAAATATCTTGGCATTGTCCTTGATAAAAATCACCTGGAACGCTCACTTGGCACACAAAGCCATACCGTCCTTATGGACATGTCGAAGGATTTGTGGTAAAACTTGGGGTTTAGGTCCCAAACAAATTCATTTTTTTTTATGTGATGATTGTCAGACCAATGATCACTAATGGTGCAATTGCCTGGTGGCCGAAGGCTTTACAGGAAACGGCCCAGGCGAAACTTTCTGGCTTACAGAGACAGGCTCGTCTGGCCATCAGTGGTGCCACCAGTACCACATCGTCAGCGGCCATGGAGATCCTTCTAGATCTACCTCCCCTCCACACTTTTCTGGAGACAGATGCTCCACTAGACTTGTGCACATCGCCAATTCAATGCAGAGTGCAACTGACTGTTGATTGACACTGGAAGTCACAGCATTCTGGAAATGACCTCTGACTTTATGCCTCCAACTGTCAACTACAAACTGCCTTATGAAGTACTGTTCCCGAGTAGAGAGGACTGGATCCTGCGGGAGAAGAAAACATTAAGACTTGATAGTTGTTGGTTCACAGATGGATCAAAAACACCTTCAGGTTCCGGTGCAGCTGTTTTTAGTCGCAGACCGAGGACAGAGATATCCACCTGTCTAGGAACCTATAAATTGTATGTGGAGAGATTGGAAAAATCCAACTTCATGTACAAGTCACTAAATATATTCTAGGACAGTCGGCTTTGGAAGCTCTAGGCTCCTACCGAGCAACGACTAGATTGGTTCCAAACTGCCAAAAACGAGTCTCCTCGATAGGAAGACTTGACATATTGTCTCTGGTCTAGATTACTGGCCATACTGGCCTGGAAGGCAATGGAGTTGCTGACTCCCTTGCAAAGGAAGGTGCCGCAAGCAACTTCATCAGACCAAAACCTGTCATTGGCATTGCTTTAGGTCTTGCCAAACAAAGATTGGACACTTGGATGGCAAAACGATTCATGGAGTTCTGCTATAATCTTTCAGGATTGGATCACTCCAAAGCGTTTATCCACCCTTCGAAGCTTGATACCAAACAGTTGTTGAACTATAGTAGAGATCAATTACGATGTCTAACAGGCCTTCTCACAGGTCCATGTCATTTGAATCATCATATGCAGAGACTCGGACTGTCGGAAGACAGTGTGTGTCACCTCTGTTTGAAAAATGATGAAACAGCAGATCACATACTTTGTGCCTGTCCCGCTGGGGACCGAATCAGGTTTTTAGAGTTGGGCAGAGTAGTACTCTTACCATCTGACCTGAAAGACCACTCACCATACAAACTAATCGGCTTCGTTAAGAAGCTGGGTTTATTTGGTTGAGTGTGAATAGGTGTGAACCACAATAAACCCTTGCGAGTTGCGGTGGACCTATCCTAACCACTATATACCTTCATAGATACAATTCATATATTTTCGAAAATTTACGTCATACCCGTATTCCTTTTCCGATGCAGTATCGCTATTCTCACCATGTAAATGAATTATCAGATCATCTACGATTATGTCTATCATGGAGGCATTTTATATATGAAGTCGTCCTCAAATTTATTTGCTCTTTCACAACAAGAATTCCGTTGCTCGGAAGAAAACTGGTCAAAAAATTGACTCAATATTGTTGACATCGTTAAATTGAATTGGGACGTAGTCTTTCTGTCAAGCTCAAACCAACTCTATTGGATTCAAATCCGGTGATATGGCAGTAATTGTACAATGTTGTGATTTGCTACTGGTCTATTTCATATACCGATTGAATTTTGGCTTATAGTTGTTTATGAGGACATTCAATTCAAGTTTCAGCATGTTTTTTTCCAAAACGAATATTCCTCTCTGATAACCATGATTGCATATCGGCTTTTTTGGTCGATGTCGTCTGCATTTTGTCGACTTGTTTATTTTGATATGGTGCATTATCGATGACCACAAAGCTTTTTAAGGGCAAAGTCGGAATCAACAGTTCCGACCCCCATTTCTTATAATCATCAAAATGATGTCAAATAGGCTGGCGTTTCTTCATCGAAATCCAAGTTTATGAAGGCCTTTGCTTGTGGCAAATGAGCTGTGTCTCAGTCATCCAGGTGTAATTTTTTACTTCAGCTTAATTTTTTACTGTTACTGTTTGAATTTAATATTTGTTATTGAAGTTTTTATCAGTATAGAAAAATGGGTATTATCAAGAAATGACTGTGTAAATTTGCGCCACAAATTGTAGGGAAACATCTATACACAAAGGGTGAAATTTTCTGTCTAAAACAGATACTTTTTCTCTCCTTTCTGAAAAATTTATCCAATCAAATCGAAATTCCATCACAATATTTCTTATTCAAAATCATTCAATAAAAAAAACAATATGTGACACATTCATTTTTGGATTTCGAGCTGGCATACAATTTTGTACAGAATGAAAAATTTCGAAATACATGAAATAAAAGACATTATGCTTAGGTAAGTTGATTTATTGTGAGTAAATGTTGAATGTATAGAAATACTTTCAGTCTGTTTTATTGACAAAAAGGAGATTTTCATCCAACATTTAAACAAACAGAGGAATAGCAAACCACATCACGAACGCTTACACTGATAACATTGATAAATGAAATGTGAAGCATAAAACTGCATGACTTATAATGACCAACATGCAGTTTCAGTTTCTTAAATGATACGACTTGAACGGTTTTTCAATGGAAATACAATTCTTCAACTAACTGTCACCGAAAAAATACTGAATAATCAATATTTCTATTCGATCCATTATCGTGGTAGATGCAAAATGAATATTTCACGAATTTAATGGAAATTATTACTCATTGATACTTTGAATAGAAAAATCGAAATCACAGTTTTTGACAGAAATTCAATATATGAGGCAAATAATTTTACAATAAAAAATGTCAGTCAGTCTGTTGGAGTGCTCAAAAATCGCATGACACATGAAAAATATATAAGCTGCCAGGAAAAATAAAATTATACTTTCAGAATTTATTTTTCATTATTGATAGATACATTGATTCATTTGATCATGTTATGTTTAAATTACATTTATGATAAGTCTGAGAAACATATGGGTATAAGGTATAAATAAAAAAACAGTAAAATTTGTTACAAGTTTACAAGGTACATTAAAACATATATCATGAGTTTGTTGACAGTGAGCCAGTGCTCCGCTTTTTCTTCTTCTTTTTCCATAGATTTGTCAACAAGAGGTAAATGATTCGTAGAAGAGTATATCAAGGATGTATCGCCAGCAAATAGTACAATGTGACATGGCTTCATATAGTTGTAAAAATCGTTTATGTAAATAACAAACAAAAGCAGTCTCAAAACCGATCCCTGCGGAACTCCTAGGTCAATCGGTCTCAGCTCCGAAAATGTATTGTTACAAAAAACTTTCTGGGAACGATTATTCAGGTAAGTTTCAATCAAACTCAAAGGAATACCTCTTATACCATTATTCGACAGTTTTTCGAGTAAAATGCTGTGGGAAACAGAGTCAAAGGTCTAAAGAAATGAACTTTAAACGTTCAAGCCAGTGTCGGATATATCTACGCAGTAGGTTGAATGGACTGACGCATCTCAGAAAACAACTACTCTCCTGGCTAATACCACGAAGGGCGTTGGATTATTCAACCTACTAAGTAGGTATATCTGTGACATTTTGTGACATTTTGTTGTTCGCTGCAACTTAGGAAGAGGAATTAAATACTCTGAAAGAATTCCGATTTTCAATTATGGAATATCATTGACTTTAGGTCGATGATGGCCACTATCTTGCACTGATGAGTCGCTAATGAGCCCGAAACCGGGCTGCAAGTGTGCCCGTTCCAAAACTGAGGGTCGACTCTTTCAGTTGTATTTCTTTCAGCTGTATTTCAGTGGATCAATTCACTATTTCATTCGCTATTGAAGGCGCTATGAATTGACCCAGAAACTTGTTAAAATATATCATTATAAAGATGATTATCTAGATGATGTAAGATTAATAATACATTATGTATTCCCCCAAAAGTACAAAGATGGCATGAATTTACTGGTTATAAAAAGAAAATTGTTAAGTGAATACCATCCTATCAAGAAGATGGAAAGTTGAATAATGTCTCAACTGAAATGGCCTCTGCTATGTAGGGGTAATCAAACAACTCAAAAATGGCCCTTATACTGATCATCTTCATTTCCAAAATCTGAGTAAAATGGCAACCTTCAGATGAACTATTGGAATTTGGTAATACCAGATGGATATCCATAAGATATTCATTCCCATTCCACTGAAGGACATCCATAAGATGGACTTGAATTGGATATTCGTAGGATATTGTTATTCGAGACTGAAGGTCCCCATTTTAATTTAATTATAATTAATGGTGGGACCTTGTACTACAGAACATTATTGAGTATTTTTCCGATGTGCATTACTGAATCGGTTAATCAAAATTGAAGTGAATGGAAAGTTCGATCATTTTGTGAAAATTTTTATGCTTACATAAAATGTTTTTTCATGTTTTCGAAAATATTTCAGAAAACGTAATTAATTCTGTAGAAATTCATATCCGAATTCAGGAATTCAAATGGCAATTTGGCAGTAGAATTGTAGCTATTTATTTTTGTTAGTTATTTTAGTTATTTATCTAAATGCCATAATTTGGACTCAGACTTCCTCCCTCTCACCATTTGATCAGTTGAAGTCAAACCAAAACAATCACAATTCCACACACCAGAACTGGAGCACTTTTCGCCACGCTTTCACCAATCAAGTTGACTTCGAAAGGAAATAAACCATACTAGAGAAGTTGCAGATCTGCCTTTCTTTTGGAGTCAGTTGCTATGAATTTTGAAAAATTTGATCAGTTCATTGTACTAGATTTATTTTATGAATAGAAATACATGTTTTAGCATAGTTCAAGCATGAAAATACCACGATAGTAGGTAGTGATTCAAAGAAATGGTACTGGTACCCTCTTATGTATTTTCATTGTTACATAAAAACATAAAATACATTAAAATCATGTATAACATGATCTTTCTTATAATTGAAGATGTATGCATACTAATATTGGGTTGTTTCAAAAGTTTTGGCGGTTTCAATGACATATTTATTTTACTATGTCGTGGTATATATTGATTGTACTTTGTACGTACATTGATACTCTTGATTTTTTTCCAAATTATATTTCTTTCCTTTTCAGCTTATTACTATGTGATGTCGTTGAGCAATTTTCAGCCAATTTTTTTCCACGAATTCAAACTGAACCAGAGCGCTGCCGAAACAGACCAAAAAATTGAGCAGGCATTTGGCAATAATAGTGTTAATGAACGGCACTGTTCGACGTTGGTTTGTGAAATTTACTTCCGGAGAGATTAGTCTTGAAGATAGTCCCGAAGAGAGCGACGAAGAGGAATCCAGGATGAAGATTTGAGGACTCTGGCAGAGACTGACTCATCACAAGTGGTGCGTGGGATGGCAAAAGAACTAGACGTTAGCTCCCTTGCGGTTTTTGATGGTTTAAAACTTACTGGGAAGGTAAAATGTTCGAGAAGTGGGGGTTTCACGATTTGAACGATCAACATAATTTGTCACATTTCAAGCTCTGTTGTTTTTTGCTTTTTGCGCAACCAAAACGATTCTTTTTTTGGATCGGATCATCTCGTGTAATGAAAAGTGGATACTCCACGTTGAAAGAAGACGTTCAGAACAGTAGTTGGAATTTTCCAAGGTATATCATCAGAAATTTCCTCATCAAACATTTCTAATCCTATCAACATCCGCTCATCATTGCTGCGTAGACTTTTAACATGGTGCAAGATGTAACATACCAACAATTTCTAGAAGAAACTCCGGTAGTTGTACTCAGAAGTATATAGTTGTCTGGGGTAATACAAGATCATCTCAAAGATTGCTGATATCACAAAATAGAATAATACGCTTGATTTTCGGAATTAAACGTACAGATTCTTGTAAACCCTACTTCATTGAAAACAATATCCTCACTGTGCCATGTATATACATCATGAAATCATTACTGGCAATTAAATTACAATTATCTTACCTCCCAAACAGAATATTCAAAAACAAATTGAGAAAGCTTCTAATTAGTAAATGTTACTATAACGTAGATGAATTTTTAATTGAGTGACTATGGTACCTGAATGCATTTTAAATGTATTTAAAGTATGTATTTTATACTCTTATGTATATGACCAGTGATAATTATCAGCATATTACTTTATAATTTTTACTATCATTCAAGATTTCATATATACATGTGCTGTGTTCTTCTTTTTTGACTGTTCCAATATCATTCGAATTGTGATAGGTATGACTGGAATAAAATTATTTTTATTGTTATTATTATTAAGAACGCACTTGCGATAATTATTGAATAGCTCATAAAGGACCTCAACAAATGCCACAAAAATAGCTAAACATGAATCTTTTGGATTATTTTCTCCGAAACCTTCTCAAAAATACTTGTGCATACGTCGTCGACAGTTCCTAGATGAGAATGCCTTGAGAAACAAAATTGATAATAAATGGGACTTTCTTTCTATTCAGACATAAATTTAAATTATATAAACATTTAATTTTAATTATTGTGTTTCAGTACCTACTGGTATTTAAACTATGTGACTTTTTTAACTTTTTGTTTGATGTTTACATTTAGCTCTGAACTGTTAGTTGAAAATGTTTACGAAGTTGATACTTACTGTTATTTTCTATGCATTCACTTTTATATTTTTATGCTTTATAGTTTTTATATTCTCATACTTACATTTAAAATGAGATTTCACCTTCGACAGACCTCTTCTGTTGGCACTAGCCAACAGAAGAGGTCTGATACTCACAACAACGCCCGTCCGCACGAAAATTAAATGAATTGAGCTTCGGAATTCTGCCTCACCGATCATACACCCCAGACCTCTCACCAATCGACTACCATCTTTCCAAGCACCTCGATAATTTTTTCTACGGCAGAACCTTCGCCAATCGAGATCGGACTTCGTCGAATCCCGAGCTTACGAAATAAATCGACTTTTATTACATCGGCAAAAGTGTACTGATTCAAACCGCGATTTTTTAAAAATTGAATTGGATAAGTGTTCACTGTGATATTGTAGTTTGAAGCAGACTCATAAACACGGACAAAACTTTTGAAACAACCTTATAGTTGTTGGCAGAAAATCTAATTTTGATATCAATTTGCTCTTCAGAAGAAAACGGGACTCCGGATTCTGAGATCACAATAATCAATAAATATCAGTTCCTTCATACAGGATATTTCAGCTGACGCAAGAATTAACAACCCCATTATTTGTGGTGCAACATACATGACCGCTGTCGCTGAGACTCCTGTGCAACGGCTTCCTTCCCTTCAACAAGTTTATAACTTGACGAGTGCTCAACAAAAAATTAACGTTTTTTCTCGGGGAAGTTTCAACACCACTAACTTTCCTAGATTCACATTGGTTATCAACATCCTTGGCACCGTCTACGAAGAAGAGTCCTCTGGATAATTGAGGAGAAGAATTCGATAAAGATTTAACATAACAATAGTCTGTTTTTTCAGAAGTACCGATACTCAGATTGGGTGAAGTTTCGATTACACAATCACCGAGTATACAGTCGTGATATGGTAATATTTCTTCTTCATTGAACCCATCATCAGATTCATCATCTTCACACATTTTGATATTAACAGATAGATTCAATTCGTTGGTATTCCTTGGTCGGTATGGCGTGGCTGGTCGAATTATCAAGCTTTTGTCATGGTTACAGGAATCCAGAGATTTTGAAGAATCACTTGAAGATATTGATCGCTCCGCGATGTTCCAGATACTCTTGTTCACTTCCCCAGTAGTGGCCGCTGCTACAGCAGCGGTAGTTTTAACGATATTCGAAACTTTGTCGGGAATATGGAGTTTCGCCTTGGAGTGAATTCTGTTTTGAATATTCGTCAGATGACAAGTGGAAACGCTACTAGATCTTTTCTGTGCTGCATTGGGCGGTCCGTAGTTTCTAATAATGGGTTCACAACGATGTGGTTGGTTGAACAGAACTAGGAAAAAGTTTTTCATTGCTGCACGAAAATCTCGTAAGTGACAGGCGTATAGCAGTGGATTCCCAACCGAATTCAGATGCGAGAGGATGATACTACTGAGCATCACATTTGAGTTCACGTGGAAGTCCGGCTTGAAAGCTATGATGCAGTTGATAGTGTACAAAGGAAACCAACAAATCATGAAGAACAGAACGATGATGGCCAAGTTTTGCGTTGCTTTCACTTCGTTGGTCTGCTGGATACCCAGTATTCTCACCATGGTGCCTCCAGATGAGTTGTTTTTGGTTGATGAGCCTTTCTCAGGGTGCATGATGACCATCTGCTTCAGCTGAAAGAAAGATATTTTCGATGTTAATAACAATAGTAATGATCAAAAAATATTATGAACAAATTGATCTTATTCTTGAAAATATATTCAACCATTCATTTCAGCCTACCTACTAATACTTTCATGTATTCTAGGTATAATGAAGTAATTGTACCAAAAATTAGATAATGCATGAAACGTGAAAGGCAATCATCATTGGTCGTCCAATCACTTCAAGAAGAATATCTCGAAGTACAGAAACAAGCTTTCAAAAGTTTTTTTTTATTAATGATGAATAAATTATCCTAGTTTGGAAGATTGCACATAGTGGATTGGTCAAAAAATAATAATAATAATAATCGTCTTCATTCATCGACATAAATTACATGAGAAAAACGTAAACAGGAATTTTGAATTTTTTGTAGTCTAGCTGCATCAGCCTGTAGAAGTGCTGGACCATAAATACTGTCGCAATATGATAATTTAGATATCACCAGCGATTCGCACAACTCAAGTTTCATTTTAGTGGATAGCAAATCACGACTAGGATACAGCTGTCTCATAATATTGAACGAGCTCTGACAGAGATAGCTGACGTGCTTGGTAAATCTTAGGTCAACATCAAACCAAATACCTAGGTTTTTGATTTCACTTACAAAGGTTAACGGCATACTTGCTAACCTGATTTGAAAATTTTGTGTTAGCTGTTCACGTTTTGATTTCGTTCCGAGAAGCATAGCTACTGATTTCGAAGGGTTAAGTGTGAGATTATGTGCGGTTGAGATATTGTATAAAGATGTTAAGTCTTCTTAATTGATCCTTGAGGCACTCCGTAATTCACTATTTGTGCATCTGACTTTAATGAACCTACTGCTACCGACTGACATCGTTCCGATAAATAGTTACGAATAAGCCCACAAGCTTCCTGAGAAAAACCGTAGTATAGAAGTATAGAAGGTGAATGTTCAAATTTCGCGGGCTACTTACATTCGATAACCGTTATTTTTAAATTTTTTTGTTAGTACACTCGTCTCGAAAGTGATGAGAGGATGAAAGTTTTTCGAGTGTTCGGCGATTTTTTGCTACTGACAAAAAAATCAAAGAATGTTCATCATATTTCATTGAAAAATTGAATAAAGTGCCCAAGAACACTTGAAATGGTGACAGTGGTGATTGGGTTTTCATAATTATTCGCAGTTTGATTCAATTTAGTTGATTTAGAGAATATTTTCGAGTTCCTGGTAAGAGTTTGGTACAGTTTTTGGGAGAAAGTGGCTTTGGTTGAAGACTTAGTTGGTGAACGTAATTAAAAAAGATCTGATCTATATTGTATATATTATTGTATGCGTATGTGTTTTATATTTTCGAATTGGCACCTATGTTATACAGGGAGGAGCGATTAAGTCGGTCTCTTAATAGTTCCTCAGAGTTGTATTTCATTTTGTTTCTATAGCAGATCTAGTAGAATTTAGGCAAGGTATACATATGTCCTGATTGATGTTATTTCAATTTTCAGAGGAATAATCTTGTCATTTTGTTTTAGTGGTTTGTTCATATTTTTTACATGGTTATAATAATAATAAAATTTATTTTCCTTGTGACATCTAGGATGTATAGGAATAGTCATCAATAAAATACAATGAAATAAGTGGTTACAAAACGAAACAAAATACGCAAGTTAATCAAAAATATTCTTTGAAATACTCATCTAGTGAGTAAAAACATTTCTCCAATAGGAAGTCATTTCTTTGCTTTTTTGAAGCAAAATAATGTCTTTGTTGCTTTTATAATTTCAAGAAGATGGTTATATATCCTAGGTCCAATATAATTAGGAGAATTTGAAGTAATATTGAGTCTCGCATATGGTACGTGAATATCATTTTTTTGCCTTGTGTTCAATGTATAAATGTTGGAATTTTTATAAAATTCGTCAATATTCATAAATATATAGACGCATACTTCAAGAATATATAAGCTTGCTAGAGGTAAAATTTTATAAGAAAGGAAAATATTTCTACATGAATGATCATAGGAAACTCCTGCCATTAGTCCCAAAATTTTCTTTTGGTTAATAAAAACATCCCGTGCATGGATAGTATTATCCCACAGACACAACCCATACCTCAGTCGTGAATTTACTTGAGCGTGATAGAAAGTTATCTACTGATTTTGTTCCAGTACCTCTTTTAAATTCTTTAAAAGAAACGTAATGCTACCTAACTTTGACAATAACTGTTCACAATGAGATTTCCAGCTAAGAAATTCATCAACATATACACCTAAAAATTTCACGGTCTCTGCAATACTGCAGTACTATCAGATGTAAAAGTGAGTTTTTGCTGAAACGTTTTTTGCCTAGTATGAAACCTTACGATTTGTGTTTTCGACTGGTTGAAATGTAGGTCATTTCCACTATAGTAGGCAATTAACTTTTCCATATATAGGTACATTGCATTTTTCTTCAAGGCGGTCATCATTTCATTCCCTGAAACATTTGTAACGGCTAGTTTAGCGTTACAACAAAATGAGCATGACTATTCAGGAACACCCTGTACTAGCCATTGAACAAAATGAATTTGTGGTTGTCTACTGACAGTTGAAGATTGTAGGAAGTTCGGCAAGCAAAACATTCTACGCACTCCACAAAAAGTGTTAAATGCCAGGGGATTAAAAAAACAACAAACAAAACGAGTTCTCGAAGTTTGAACGATAGAATAAGTCGAAAAAGTAGCGAACGGTTCACGAAGAATTTGAAGTGATTTCTTTTCATCCAAGTTTTGGGATTTTTCTTTGCTGAATCTTATGTTACACTAGTTTTCATGTTTTCTTGTGTAGATACGTTATAAACGTATTCGTGACATTTGGTTGAAAACTAGTACCTTGAGAGGGATTTACATTCGCTGCTTGTTCCTGCAAAATCGCAGCACTTTCCAACAAAATCGAGTAGCTGCCGAATTTCATATATGATCGTAGACCCTCATCAAAAGAGGTAGTTTTACTCTTATTAGTAATTAAGTAATAGGTTTCAATTTATTTTGTTGTGCATTCTAGGGTCTTACTCAAGGGTCTCACTCTAGGATCGTACTCTTACTCTTAGTCTTGAGTCAGTCTCAGTTAGTTGAATCCGTGACACAATTCTGATGTACCTCGATGAATTTGAATGAAATACCTTTTGTGCAGTTGGATTGGAGAGTGCAGTAATGCTGTTCACCCGCCGGTTACCAAGTTACATCTGAACCTGAATCCTGAATTATGTGACAGATAAGATGCATGATATTTGTTTGTGACTGTAGAGAAAACATATATATTTATGATACTTACATTTATATCTATTATATAATTCTCCATATTCAACTANTTGCTACTGCTTTCTAATAGAAGCGGCAACACCGCATTGTCAAAAATATTTTAGTTGGCTAGAGAATGTCCGAATATGCCCTCCATTAAATTTTCAAAGTGATCCGTTGTCTGGTTCACCAGAAACGTCTAATGTGCCATCCACCGTGAATCAGCCTGTATAGGGATCGCCAATTCAGACCCGACGGTCATTCATTATAGAAGATACATCAACATTTAAAACACATAGGCCTACTTGCTGTAACGTAATCGTAGAAAAAATCCGTAAATATTTCTTGGCACTTTGAGATATAGACTTTTAATTGTAGGTAAGTACATGAGGATGAATCATCATTCTATGCTATGGGAAGTTTTCATTATACTTGCCTGTCTGACGACGACCTGGTAGATGTGAGCATAAAACGCTGCTAGTAGTAGAGCTGGGGTAATGATAGTGCCGAAATATAAAAACACCAAGTAGTTTGATTGCATTACGTTGAGGAAGAAGCAGTAGTCCCTGTCAGGTTTTTTGTGCCATCCTAGTAGCGGAAGGAAGCCCACCACGATTCCAGCAAACCAGCAGATACTTATAATTACTGTAACAAAAGAAATAGACTGTTAGGAAGATAATATCGAATAGTTCTGAAACAGTTCATTCTTATTAGTCATTGGGCTATGCTTAAAGACTGGCAGTAAACAAATCTAAAGAAATGAACTTTAAACGTTAAAGCCAGTCTCAGATATACCTACACAGTAGGTTGAATGGACTGACGCCTATCAGAAAACAACTACTCCACTGGCTAATACCACGAACGGCGTTGGATTATATCCGACAGGCGTAAGTGCAGGAATCTTCACTGGCAGTAAAGAAATCTAAAGATATGAACTTTAAATATTCAAGCCAGTCTCGAATAGGCGTCTCGAATAGGCGTCTCGAATAGATTTGAAACAGTTCAATTCAGATTGTGTAGGTGTTTTAATAATAGACTATTAGTGATGAAATAGTCACCTAGCCGCCATGAAATGATTTTGTCAAAGTGCTTGGATAAGTCAGAAGCTGACTCACGGTGTATTTTCATTACTTCAAAAATATGATGAAACGTTTTCTAAGGTGGGTGTGATATACTTCCAAAAATTACTGAAAATGTAGGCGAATTTAGTAGAGGCAAATTTATTCTGAGCATCATCTACATTTTACATACCCTTCGTGTGAAAATAATTGCACCTAAGTAACGGAAGTATTTGTGTTGTGCTTTCCATTCACCAATATTCAATGATATTGATGTAAATCACGCCCTTGAGAAAATAACACCGGCCGCCACTGTTAGCCATAAACCAATTGTGACGTGGCAAAGAGCGCGCTCAGTTCGACCGAATTTTTGCGGCTATTCTACCGACATCTATGGAATTCCGGCGAATTTTCTACCGCCTTCGATTACGATATGTAAACGCTAGCCAAGAGCCTCGATATGCTCGTGGAAGTTACAGTGCGGTACGCGAAACGATCTAGAAAGGCGATATACATTCGAATAAAGTTGAAGTGTTTGTTGTATTTAAAGTGAAATGAAGTTAAGTTTGATTATTGTCCAGTGTAGTCAATTATTGGTGAACCCACGGGGAAAAACGTAACAATATATTATTAATTATCCTATATGTATATCTATATACATACATTTCGAATAATGAATTTATCAAATTATTGAATATTGGGAATGATGAAGATTTTGCTGAACATCTATTTTGAATTCATCGAGATTGGAAATATTTTTTAGGCTGACTGCTGGACCAAGATAAAAAATACACCCCTGTGTGTTACTTTTATTAAATGCTAGTAGGTTTATGGATGAATTAGTGACGAATCTGGTTTATTTTTTTCTGTTTATTGATTGAGGTGTGAATTTGTTTGTGTACACCTAAGTTAAAAATTGGTGGATATAGATTCATCTCGTTTTCAGTTACTGCGTTCGTTACATTCAGTAGAGAACACTTTGGGTTTTTTGAATAATTGTGTTTCGAGATTTTGGAGAGAATGAAAGAATAAAAAATTAATTAAAACTAATAAAAATCGAATTCGATAAAAACTCAAAAGAGAAATTCCGTTAGATTCCAGATGCTGAACTGTACGTAAAAGCAGCAACCCCACTCCCTAGGAGGGAGTTATTTGGATCGAATCGTATCGCTTTTCCTATAGAACAGCAAAAAAGGAACTCGCGTGTCCTAGGGTTTCAGTACGCTTTCTTCCTGCACGGTCTTGACCGTGCAGTACCTTATCCAGCAGTTGTAGCCGACGTGGAAGGTATTGGTCATGTAGTGTCCAATGTTGGCATTTTTACCTTCGTGGTAAACGACGGCGAATGGCTTGCATTGCTTCTCTGTTGGAGACTGTATTTCCGACGATACCAAAGTCGAATCAATCTTCAACTCGAATTCAAACTACATAACCTTGATAATCTTAGTGCAACGGTCGTGGCTGTATACAAAAAACTTCAGATGCCAAATGAGGATAACGGGAAGTTTATAGAGCATAACTTGCTTCCACGCTTTGACCTTCTCGTTTGTTTTCGACGAAGTCATCCCCTCTGAACGGTTCTTGGTTCTTGGAGACGAGTACTTTGAGCGCTTCCCTACAGTTTTCACGTTCTCAATGAATGAGTGGCACGGTGAGGAAAGGCTGGATATTCTCACTAATATGGTTCCCTGTACGATGAATGCTCGACTTTAGTAGCCCCCCGAAGATGTCACTTGTTGGTGTGCTCTGGTGAAGTCGATCCTTCTGGTTGGATGCTCTTTATTTTTCGATTACATTATGTTCCATTCATTATTTGAATCAGAGTCAACGTAAGGTTTTTTATCTTCAATATAATTAAACCGAAGGGACTGTAGCTTTCTTGGATGAATGCTCTTGTGAACAGAGTCAAGATGGTATGTTTGGTCACAGAATGTACGGAAAACCAACACAAACCCAGGCAGGTACCAGAACAAAAACTTTAACTACTGGCCACAACAAAAGAGAGGGGTAATTGAAACGTTGGTTGAAAGAGCACGACGTATCTATGAACCTGAGAGTCTTCCTGAGGAACTCAATCACCTGAAAAATGTCTTCAAAGGGAATGGGTACAGTGAAGGAGGATTCGAGAGTGTCATACGACCCAGGAGAGTGAACACCAAAGTAACTCCAGCTAGGCTAGTCAAGGGACAATCTTTCCTTTCATATGTTGGGAATGTACCAGACCCGATTGGAATATACTAAGAGAAATACGACGTGAAGTCAATACTTAGACCAGAGAAAACTACCGAAGAAAGTCTAAGGTCAGCTATTACTTCAGAAGAATTGAACACTCTAAGAATAAACAAAAAGAAACATCGAATTATATCAATGAATTGGGAGGAAAACATATGGCCGAGTCAAAAAAGCCAAGTCTTAACTCAGATGAATTGAACTCATTTTATTTTTCTGTGGCAACTGAACGAGCTGAAAAAATTATTGTAAAAAACGACCCGATGTTCTTAAAAATTCTGATAACTCTTCTCGACAGGGCTGTGAATGTGTTGGCGGAGGCAATACATTTCTCATTCTCCAAATGTATGTTCCCATCGGCATCGTGTCTGAAAATTGCCACAATCATTCCTCTACATAAAGGAGGCGATCTTGACAACCTAGCTAATTTTAGGCCGATTACTTTGCTAGCCATCTTGTCTAAGGTTGTAGAAAAATTGTTAAAAAAACGAGTAGTATCCTTCCTCGAGAAAAACAATATAATAAATTTATTCCAGTTCGCCTTTCAGTCTCCAAAAGGGACACAAGACGCTATATTTTCACTCCTGGAAAACCTGTACAGCAATTTTACTGAAAGAAAATCTGCGGCGGCTGTTTTGTGACCTAACCAAGGCCTTTCGATTGTGCGACTACATGCTACTTCTTCACAAGCTAGAAGTTTACGGATTTAGATCTGCATTACTTTGGTTTGGGACGTACCTTTCTCGTCTGCGGCAGAATGTGGGCACCAATATTGTTTTTCTTTTATGCCAATGACTTAGTCCATGTTGACATAAGTGGTAAATTCACATGTTTTGCTGACGATACCACAATCTTCTGGCATAGCAATACCGCCTCAAATTCACTTGATCAAATTATCGTCGACATAAAAAAGGTGAAAGAGTGGTGTGATTCCAATCTTTTATCATTCAACATCGACAAAACAAATGTGGTCACGTTTGTTTGAAGGTGATTGAGAATGTTTCATGATGAATATCATGAACGAATTCAAGGAAGCCGCATACATGTTGTCCAATAACGTATTCAGCCAAGCCAGCATAGAAATACGCAACATATGGAAACCCGTCATCAAGCGAAAAATGGCCAACTCCCGCCAAACGGTCATCTCCCACTGAACCAGTGAAGCGGAAAAAATGGAAAGCGGGGATAAGTGAAAGTAACTATTTACGTTATGGAATTTGTTTCTGGGGAAATTGTGCACAATTTCGTTTCAATATGGTATTCTCTCTACAAAAAAGAACCATCAGATATTTATGCAAGGCTAGCTACAGGGATTCATGTCGTCCTTTATTCGTAAAGCAAAACATTCTGACCTCAGTATGTCTTTTTATTTCGGAAACAGTGTGACACAAAAAATATAGAACTCAATTTAACACCACCTCAACTTATAGTACACGTCAGTCTTACTTCATTTCCTTTCCAACACCTACTCTAGCCCTTACACAAAATTCTGTTATTTTCATTGGCAAGAAGTTATTTACTCACCTTCCCATTAATTAAGGGCGAATATATAATGAAAAGAAATTCAGAAAGAGAGGCAGGTATAAAAATCTGCAGACCAGAATTGCTATCTCTGGTTTTGAAAGTTTACATTTCTTGTTTAATGTGTAATTCATCTTTATAAACTTGTTAATGATACTAATAAAACTACAAAAGATATTACTGAATCTCATTTCAACAGAAAGTTATTGAGTTTCATCATATTTACTCTTCTTATCATTATGAAGCAAAAAACTCCCACTCGCTCCCTATATCTACTCAGTTACCATTTATTCCTTTGAATCACAATGCATGCAAAAAATCCGAAATCAAAATCCTCAGTCATTTTCCTCTCTCAAATTACCGTAGTGAATTGAATATTTGATTCCAAATTGAAAGCCGTTTTGGTTCTATCTGCATATATTGTAGTGTATTCATGCATGAATCAAACACTAATTAGGGCCTATTAAGGTCATGCAAAGCATATCAATTAGAATCAACACTCCTCTTAGGCAGGGTTGCTTTTCGTGTCCTAAAATTCCCTCCGGGAATTTAATTAGATGGGGTCATCATGGTCATTTTTGTTTCAGTTTCTGTATTGAGTGCTTTTTGTAAATGGTAATTGGGATTGGTAGTATTATACAAGGTGTTTCGATGAACATATGTTCAAAATAAACAATTTTGGCTACTCGAAACGAATGGTGAGACTAATTGAATCTTTTATAGCTGACCGGCGAGTTCGCTGCAGAGTGGGTCAAGAACTCTCCAACATGCGATTAGTGGAAGCAGGGTCCTACATCTCTTCTCGGTATACACAGCAGACATACCCAAGCCTGAGAACAACTTTAACAAGTTGGCA